GCCTCGTCAAGCCATTCCCTTTCCTTAGGGGGGCAAAGACCTAGATGCTATAGTCGCGCTTCAGCCAGAAGTACTAGCCAATCCCGAAGCCTAGGGCGGCAAAGTAGTCAATGGGACAACACTGATGGCAGAACCATTAGCGGCGGCGGCGTGACCTGCCTTAATCCTAGGATTTTGGTCGCTGAGGGGGGGGGGCATCATCGCTAGAGGGCGGTTTCGCCGCATAATCAACTGTGGAACCTCCTCCTCTTCTTCAACACTTAGCTCAACCTCCGCATTATGGGGACGACATAATGCCCACATTTGCCGCCTCGTCAAGCCATTCCCTTTCCTTAGGGGGGCAAAGACCTAGATGCTATAGTCGCGCTTCAGCCAGAAGTACTAGCCAATCCCGAAGCCTAGGGCGGCAAAGTAGTCAATGGGACAACACTGATGGCAGAACCATTAGCGGCGGCGGCGTGACCTGCCTTAATCCTAGGATTTTGGTCGCTGAGGGGGGGGGGGCATCATCGCTAGAGGGCGGTTTCGCCGCATAATCAACTGTGGAACCTCCTCCTCTTCTTCAACACTTAGCTCAACCTCCACCTTCCTCTTTCCACGATCGTCGGCCATTTTTAGCGGTGGATGTATGAGTAATCGAAAAAAGAAGGGTATTTGAAAAAGCAAGAAAAACGAAGAAATTCCGAAGAAAATTATCTGGGTCAGATGCGGAATTTGCCGATCTATAAGTTCGTAGCAACAAATTTCTGTTTCAAGCCTCGGATTGCTGAATATGAGTGAAAAAAAGGAAAAGGGTTTAGCAGCGGTGATTAGCAAGAAGAAATGTGAAATTAGCGAAATGAAATAAGGAGAGAGAGTGGGATGAGTGGCTTAAATACCTTCCAGAAATGGGAATCTTGGGAGTCCGCACCACTAAAGCCCCCACTAACTCCACTTCAATTCAATGCTTCAACTATTCATCTACTTCTCTTATTAACCGCCCACTAAACTATCCACATCCTCCATTAACTCCAAACAACAGTTATTATTTTAATAACTCTCCAAAAATTTAAATGCTAATTGCATCATTTGCTTCCCTCCAAATTGCAAGTCAAAACCCGACTTGTCAAAATTCCGAACCAGGTTTGGGGGGCAAGTTATTTGGGTCCAATTCACCCTAATTGGACCGGTCCACAAATAATTCAATTACAAGCCCAAAGAAGGTTCAACCCTCTCTCAAGTCATGCATGCCAAGTTAGTCAAAGGCCCAGTCAACATGACAAGCCCATTTGACCTCAAGGTCCACTTATTCTATTTGAGCAAGGTATAAAAGCCTTCACTTCTCTCTCTCAATTCATTCACTTCAAGCCTCAAGCAATTAATTCTCTTAGCTTTCTCTCACTAGAAACATTGTACTGACTTTGGCATCGGAGGGGCCTTCTTCGGCAAAACCCCCGAGGCCAGTTTACGTGTGTTTGCTGTACAGGAAACCCTCGTTCCAATCATCACTTGGGGATTCAGAAGCCGATGAAGCACTACCAGTAGCAGGTTCCTGATACCGATTCCTTAGATGTAGACGTGGTTTATGAAAGATCAGTCTCCTTTTCCTGATACCTATCTTATATCTAGGTCAAATGGGGTTAAAATTGGCTAATTCTAATGACAAAGTCGGAAGACGCTGTTTTAGTTGAAAGTTGGAGTGATTTGAAGTTACTTTTGAGGTACATTGTCAAGGAAATGGAAATCAGACTTCCAACAAATTGGGGCTTAGGGAGAATAGAATTAATTGACAAGTCCACATTTGAAAAGGAACAAAAATGAGTGAATGACCCAAGGGTTTCTCTTTATTCTGTGCTATTTTGCTGTTATTTGCTTCTTGGGTATGCCCAATTGCCCATATGTTTCTCCAAGAATTGTTGTTGCTGCCCACCAAGTCAAATTTTTCGATGGGAGGTCATTAGAAAGTATAAAGCTTACTTTTGTAGGGAAGCTGTATTAATGCTAGTTGCTGTTGGATGAACCCAGATTTTAAGTCAGTGACATAGATAGCTAGGAGAAGGAGAACTCTTATTTTATCAGTTTAATGTTTTCTAATTATTGGAAGTTTGCTTGTATTGCTGTTCTATATATGTATGTATGTATGTATGTTTTTTTTTCCAAAAAATAAGTATGTTGTACCTATCTATAACTATTTTACTGGGTCTGGGTTGCTTGGTGTTATACATGTATTGAGGTTATTATTTGCAAATACAGTAGATTACAACACAAATTGATAATGTTCTTTTTCTAAGAGCCTTGCATTGTTAACTCTATTGTTTTGTAGAAATTCTATAAGAGCTTCGTGCAAACATTTAGTGGTTGTTTGGGGGGGGGGGGGCATTGTTTTAAAACTCTATTGTTTTGTAGAAACTTTACAAGAGCTTCGTGCAAACATTAAGCGGTTGTTTGGAGGGAGGGGGGGGGTGGGTGGGAAGTCAGTCCGTGGAGACACTCAATTTTATGACTGCTATGATTGATGACACTCAATTAAACTAATCCTTCACCTGGTTTGTAAACAATAACCTGAAATTGGAGTAAAATGCTGGGACAACCTAAAACTTTCATTTCTTCAAAGGATTCTTGTTACTTGTTTATACTTTAATATTTCCTTCAGATTTTAATGATTGATGATCTGTTTGTTTGTTTGTTCTGTAGCTTATATAATATTTGTTCTATAACCTGTCGTATGTTGTTTCACAATGGTAATTTGTTTTCATTCTTCTTCAGTGATTCATATATACCCTGCTAGGATGTTAGTCAGACCCACTATTAGGGCACATAGTCAGCCACATCCTTTCCGTTTTCTACATCCAAGGTTATAATCTATGTTACTCCTCAACTCTTGTTCAATAATTATGAGCGGAGGTTTGTTTAGAATGCTTGGATTTATTCTACTATTTTTTTGGATATAGTTGTTTTGTGCATGATCCTATGTAGTGTGCAAAAGACTAATTTTATTGGAAAACGAGTTTGAATTTTCTAGATTATTTGTTTATATCATTTCAAAATCAGATAAACTGCACTGCATCTGCGTGCCTTTAGCCAGTATGTTGTTCAGCACTTCAGCTTTGGCCGGTGTTGAGGTTTTAAATTGCTACTCGATGGGCAGTGGCAACTCTGTATCATAACATAGATTTTCTAATAGCTCGAAAGGAAACCTCAGCCATTTGAAGCATTATCTGAGAGTTAATCCAAAAAAAAAAACCACCACATTATGATGACAGAGGTTGGGAGGCTGTAGTACTAGCATTAACCTTCCACTTTATTCTCTCCCTCATTTCTATGGTCCATGAAGTACAAAGGTGGGAAAGTCAGAAATCTTACGTGAGTTCAATCTAATATGAGAGTTTTACTTATTTGGGCCTTAAGGAAGCTAAAGATTTAGCTGTGAATGAAAGATGAATCATTTGGGGAAAAGAGTTTTTTTACACGATGAAATGGAAGGTATATAGTGATATAGACTTTTTACAAGGATAACGCCCTCTTCTTTCATCAATTTATTGTTTTTTTTTTTGGACAATTTCGTCAAATCAATTTGAGTTTTGATGAAATGAGCTTATATTAATTCTATATTAAGAATATCATATAGTTTAATAATCTGTCATACTTCATAATCATCATTCTGCTGATTCTGTCTTTCTTTTTTCTGTGGGTTCAACGCTTCATGCATGTATGGAGTGGGAATTGCATTGTTCTGCCTTTTATCACTGGTCCATGGATTTAATTATTTTTTATTTTCAGTTTCAAGACCAGTATTATGTTATATCAGGTTTCTTGACATCCTTGATTTGAAGCATGTGATTATTTAGTGCTTTTGTGCAACTATTACTCTTATTAACATCAATCTTCTGAACCCAGGACATCTGGATAATAACCAAAGTTAAAAGAACTACAGAAATTTTGCTGGAATGGAAATAGTGTGTGTGTGTGTGTTTTTTTTTTAACTAACAATGAGATTATCACACTCAAACTGAATGGAATCAGCTCAAAATCACGACCTTTTACGTCGATTGCAGACTCCATAAATCTCTCTGGCTCATATGAGTTTGGGTTTTCCCACAGCTCTGGATCTCTCCCAATTGCCCATACATTGACCAGCACTTAGCTTGACAGTAAAACCACAAAGCTTCACATCCGAGTCAGCTTTTCTTGGCACCAGAAGTGGTGCTGCTGGGTGTAGTCTTAAGGTTTCCTTGACAATGGCCTGCAAGTATGGGAGCCGGGCCATATCAGATTCTTCAACTGGGTTTCCTTTTCCAATGGTTTCTTGGAGCTCTGCTTGTGCTTTCTTCAGCTTTTCTGGGTTGCAAAGCAATTCTGCCATCGCCCATTCGAGTGTAGACGATGTTGTGTCAGTTCCTGCACCAAACAGGTTATGCAGAGAAGAGATGTCAAGGATTTTGTATAACGCGGAGGAACATGTTCAGCAAAAACTTTAAATGAATAAGAGTAGGTGATTACAATTAGCAGATGAGGAATTGTTGATAGTGGTAATTCCTCAGATTTTTCTTGACTGATGCCAAGTAAGGTATCCAGAACATCATCGCCTTGTATCGTTGATCCTGGTAGTCTCTTGCCCTGCAATCATTGGTCAATTATGATGTTGAAAAAACCAATCAACTTCCCACAGTGTAGACTTGTACGGCGTCTGATGCCTTAAACTTTTTTGTTCATGCACAATTGGTTATAGATGCTATATTATTTCGAAAATTTAAGTCATGGAATGAGTTGGGTTTTAGAGTCTTTAAGATATGTTTCAATGAAAAATCATCAGTATGTGGTTGTAAACTGATTTCATATTGCACCAGTCCAACTTATACTACTGATTTATGATAATTGAAAATGACTGCAATGAGCTGAAATAACTGCAGTATCATAATTTCTGTTAGCAACTGGACAAAGTTGGTTAGAAATTGCGTTGGAGATCAACTAAAAACTGCAAGGACAGAAAAATAATATCCACATATTAAAATTTACCGGCATATATTAATTCTTGCAGCGTGGTTGAGTTAAACATGTTAATATTTCTGGAGCTGGATCATTACAGATTACTACAAGTATAGGATCTCTATCTTATTGCTCATCTTTAATTCATGCTTTACACCATTCTGCATATAATCTGCCTTCTGCTAATATGCGAGTTGAATTAAGCTAGAAAATTTGCTAAATTTGGAACCAAGTGTTCGTTATTAACATGAAATTATCATACTCAGACACAAACAAAAAATTTCATGAAGTCACTGAATATTTTCCAAGGCGATGCAAACTCTAATGTTCCCTTAACTGCGAAGGGCTGGAATGACACGAAGTCGCTGAGCTTTTTCCAACGTGATCCCAAATTTATCTTCCATATCCATTTTTTCTGGTGGAATTCCTCCTTCTAGCTTCCAGTCAAACCTGTGAATTAGTGAACCCAGCATCAGATGGATCATCCGATGAGCCAATGGCAATCCGGGGCATATCCTACGACCAGCACCAAATGGAATCAGCTCAAAATCACAACCTTTTACATCAATTTTAGATCCTATAAATCTCTCTGGCTCAAAGGAGTTTGGGTTCTTCCATAGATTCGGTTCCCTTCCAATTGCACGTACATTGACCAGGACTTGTGCGTTTTGAGGCACTGTGTAACCGTAGAGCTTCACATCTGCATCAACTTTTCTCGGTACTAGAAAGGGTGTTGGTGGGTGTAGCCTGAAGGTTTCCTTGACAACGGCCTGCAAGTATGGGAGCTGTGCAATGTCTGATTCTTCCACAGGGTTTCCTTTTCCTATGATTTCTTCAAGCTCTGCCTGTGCTTTCGTCAGTTTTTCAGGGTTGCGAATAAGTTCTGCCAATGCCCATTCAAGGGTAGTCGATGTTGTATCAGTTCCTGCGCCAAACAGGTCCTGCAGACAAGAGATATCAAGTATTTTTTAAGTAATGCAGGGATGATGATCTGCAAAAATAAATGTCTAAATCAACTAGTGCAAATGACTACCAGCAAAAGATGTGGAATTTTTTCTAGTTCTAATTCCTCAGAGTTTTCTTGATTAATGCCTAGTAAAGCATCCAAAACATCGTCGCCTGGTGTTGATCCTGGTGGTCTTTTGCCTTGCAATCGTTGGTCAATCATGGTTTCAAATAGATCAATCAGCTTCCCAAAGTGTACAGTTTGACGCCGTCTAATACCTTGTGGATCTATCTTCTTCAACAGAGGGAAATAATCAGCAAAGTTAGGTTTCCCCATTTCCTCCATTATACCTCGTACAGTCTCTCTGAATCCACCGGCATACCCTGAACTAGGATCACCCAAATCCACTGAAAATATTGTGTTCGACAACAAATTCAAGGTGGTGGTGAATGCTACTTGCCCAATGTCCACTGCCAAACCAGCTTCGCTTTGTTTTTGGACATAGTCAAGGAGGTCTGTCACCTTTTTCTTCCTTAGACTTTGGCTCGAGTTAAGTTTACTGGCTGAAAATACTTTGGAGTTGGAGATTTTGCGAAGCTTTCGCCATGCAGGACATACTGGCATGAATGCCAGTGAGCTTTGTTGGTGGTTAAGTGCATCAAAAGCATCAATAACAAATCTGTTGCAGAAGAAAATATCATTCTTTTGAAGCACTTCTTTGGCCAAGTCAACCGAGGAAACAACCACGGTTGGCACTTGGCCAAGCTGTAAAGTCATGAGAGGGCCATAAGTCTTGGCAAGTTCAGTCACGGAAATATGTGGGTTTGTGCCGAGGCTGAAGAGGTTCCCAAAGACGGGTATTTTGGGTGGACCTGGTGGTAGTATCCTAGGCTTCGATTTATTACGTTTCTTTACAGTTGAAAGGAGGTTGATTACGATCCATGCTAGCAATAGGCACAACACAAAACTCAGGTAATCCATGGCCTCCTGTAGTTTTATGCTCTATTTGAATTTGATCTAGATATAGCTGTTTCGGCTAAATGAATTTCCTGAATGGCCTGAGTATAATATTATCACCCAAATTTACCAGAAAGAATTCTTATGTATCAATTTCACCATGCACTTGGTAGCTTCAACGCGATTAGATTGAGATTAATTCAAGAATTAGATTTGGTTCAGGACCTATCTGATGCAGTGAAATGGTGCAGGACCTATTTGATGCCGTGAAGGATATCAAATAGGTCCTGTAAAAAGAGATATCAACAGGTCCTGCAGAGAAGAGATTTCAGGTTTTGTTGCAAAGAAAAATATCAGAAAGTTGGTTCAATTGTTCTAATTACTAGTTTTGTTATTTATACAATTGCCACCTCAAATTTTTAGCTAATTAGTGGAATAGTATTAGACTTTAGCTATTTAGGGTAAAAAAATCTGTAAAACTCCTATATTTTTGTATTAATTATCTGACAAAATTAAGGGACAGTTGTTTCTGATAATCACAAGTCCTCATGTATATCCATTCTACCATGTATTCCTCTTAATATTTTTGTATTACTACTTGTATTCCAGCAATTAATGTTTTATACTAATATTTTTTTCATATATACTAATATTAAAGGTACATTATTTTAAAACAATTTAAGTTGTATTTTGGGTTGGCAATATTAGGAAATTTAACTTTAAAAAAAAAAAAAAAAAACTAATTTTACAAAGGTTGTTATTTCATATGTAACATTGTGAAATTTCCGGTTGTCCACGAAGATAAAATATGCACTTTGTTTAGACTTGATTATCACGTTACTAGTTCAAATTACACTATTAATTTGACTATTATTTTAATTTCCAAATGGTTTATAAGAAGTATATTTTAAAAAGTATTTCGTATCTTCATAAAATCCTACTCTTGGTCATGTTGGGTATTTTCAATGATTTACATTCTTATAATCTCATTTAATTACCTCATTATCGTTATTCCTATACCCTGACTTCTGTGAAAAAGGAGGAGAATGGTAAATTGGTAGTCAAGAGGAAGATGAGAAAGAGAAGGATGATAGATAATGTGATGTAGATAATTTGATAGGGAGTAATTTAACTTCCGTATGTACGATAGAAAACAATACAACATGCTCTTCTACTTTATGGTGGATGAAATTGGGGGAAAATAAATAGCACATAGTACCGTAATAAATACTTTGTAAAATTCAATTTATGCTCACAAGGACGAGTGATAAAAATCGATCCCAAGAACACCTAGGAGGGAAGCTTTAACTATTTCAGCTATCCCTCACTGTCACGTAATACATGATTGTGAGGTAGGAAGATGGTTTTTCATTGTTAGATTACATCCAACACTAGTCTTGGATTGCTTTAGGCTATGTATAGTCTAATCTAAACAAGTTATCTGTAGACTAGAAAATTATAAAGTAGTAAATTAATCCAATCCAAACAAGTTCTATAGTAGTATAGTCCAGTGATTGGCCCATGATTACAATCTTAATCCAAATCAAAATCAATTGATTGACGTGAGGACGACCGGACGAGTCCTATGTTTTTTTTTTTTTTTTTTAACCTATTTTTCATTTTACACTGTTCTTAAAGTTCTCCGTACATAATTTAGTTTATATGTTTTTTTGTGACATACCCCTTTTATGAGTTTTATCATTTTACCCTAACTCCACAATAATTACACCTTTGCATACTCTCTCTTACTCTATCTTACCCACAATCATTCTTCAATAATTTCTTAAATTACGCATCTTCAATAAGCAAGTTGAACATAAAAGAATAGAGGTAGTACTTATTCAAGTGGGTGTCTGATATCCAATTAACATACTACGACTCTACGAGTACATAGATGAGGGAATATTTAGGTTTAGAGGGATACAATCATGTTATATTAGATCAACACCCATGATTTAACCAACAAGAGTTAGCTCAAATGTTAAGCAATTTGATGTCGCTTAAGAGAGGTCTCGAGTTTGAGCCTCGCCGTATGCGGAAACTCTTGTTGGGAGACTCACCCACCATAAGCCAAGTGAGCAACACAAATCATCCGGATGTAGTCGAAGCTAAGCTTCGGTGAACTAGGTGGGCATCTGGTAGAGGGGTATTTGATCGTTGGACAAACACCCTAAAAACAAGCAATATTTCTACCTAAACCAATATAAGGACAAGTCTAGGGCAAGTAAAGGATCGTACCCACAGGGAATGGTATGAGTACACCAAGAATATGATACGGCTATAAGCTAGTCCAGTCATAAGATTCGGATTTAATTGATTAATTAACTACTATGGAGACAAACGCTAGGGGAAAATGGGAATCGGCACCAACCAAACCAATATAGATCAATACAACAGGCAAACATGAATCAGACCTTGGTGATGAAACAAGAACTCAAAATTGTCTTCTTTCGAAGTCAGAACACTAAGCATTCTTAAACCAAACTCAACTAACAAGATATGTCAACCAAGTCTCAATGATAAAAAGTAGACTACTAACTCGGGTTGTCTTTTGATTGGTTCCAGAAAGCAATAAAACACAAGTAATTGGGATTTCTCACCTAATTATTGCAACTAAGACTGCCACATCATCTAAACAAGGAACCGTAATCAAGATAGGAATTTAGCCTAATCATACAAGAAAAGACTCTCAACTAAACTTCATCTTTCTATGCAAGCATAGAAGTGAAAACATGAGCAAAAAGTGGTCATCTAATTACACATGCAATTAATTAAGAGAAATTCTCAACGGCGACCCCCAACAATTGCTACGCACCAACGGTAACCCCCTTTTTTTGGATTATACGAAATGACCTTAGTTATTTTTTTTCCTCTAATGATGACATTAATGATGGTGTTTTAACATAAAATTAAACCATGGTTAACCAAAATAGTGAAATGATAAAAATGTCCCCTTTTATTTGACGGATTTTATTTATAAAACAAAAATTAAAAGAAAAAAAAAATCAAAGCCCCCAGCCGTCGGTTAGCCCTTATCCGGCGACATCAAGGCCGAGAATTCTCCCCATCGCCACCTCCACCTCTCCTTCTCCGGCGACATCAATCCCCTTCCCCTCCCCATCGCCACTCTCCTTTCCCGGCAGCCCAACCCAACCCAACCCCCGAATCGTAACAACCACTCGAAACCCCAGTTCTCTCTCCTCTGAAACTCAAAAGGGGTTCGTTGTGGTGGCTTTTTATCAACAAAGTGCGAATTTCGATTTGGATTTTTCGATCTAAATTTATGAATTGCGGTTGTGGTGGCAGTTTGAATGTTTTGTAGGTTCAGTTTTGGTGGTTAGTGGTGTTTCGATCTGGGGTTGTTGTGGTGAGTTCGAATTTGAGTGGGTTTGTGGGTTGTCGATGGATTGATGTTGGTTGATTTGTGGGTGGTTGGGTTTGTTCGATGCTAAATCAGTGGTAGTGGATGGTTGTCATGGTAGATGAGTCGGTGGTGGTGGTGGAGGATCGGTGGTCGGGGTTTGGGGTTCTGGGTAATTTGCTGGTCTGGGATGGTCATCTCTGTTCGGCGGTCTAGAGTCCAGGTGGTCGGGTAGTTGGGGTCGCCGGCAGTGAAAGGGGAGGGATATGGCGGTGGCTGGATGGTGGAGATGGTGGTGTGGATTGATGGTTGTGGTTGTTAATTTTTCTAAATGTTTTTCTTTTTTTCTTTAAAAAAAAACTAACCATAGTTAATTTTAATTAACTATTTTATGTTAAAACACCATCATTAATATCATCTTTAGGAGAAAAAAGAAAAGTAGTGTCATTTTGTATAATCCAAAAAAAGGGGGGTTACCGTTGGTGCATAGCAAAAGTTTGGGGTCGCCGTTGAGAATTTCCCATTAATTAATCCTTAAACAATCAATCATCAACCCAAGGTTAACATGCAAGCACTTATAATTAATCAACCCATGGCTTGGTTGGGTCGTCACCTAACCCCTACCTAAGGAGCTACTCACTCATCATGGTGAAGAACAACAAAGGTACAAGTTCTTATTCTAGCATTCATTTATCAAGTTTAGTAAGGTAATAAGAAGGAAGTATATTGAACACGCAACAACAATTAAGCAAGATTAAGGGAGAAATTAACAATAGAAAGTAATAAAAAACAAAAAATAAAGATAGATAGAGGAAATAGTTACTAAATGAAGCTTCAAGTTGAGAAATTGTTGAAATCAAAAGAATAATCTAAAATTAAAGTAAGTACAAATGATTGAGTTTGAGATAAACTAAGCTAATTGATGAGAGTTCTAAGAAACTAAGGGCCTATGAAGTCTAAAGGGAAAAGAAAATGTCTCGTAGAAAGACGCTTTGGGGTATTTATATAACCCCTACAAAAATCACGTAGAAAACTCCGTCAATAACTGCTCAAGGAGGGATGCGCGGACGCGTAGTGATGGGGGTGCACGGATGTGCAATGGTCGTAATAAGCCTCCCAAACTCATTTCGTGGACGCGCAAAGCTCAAATCTGCATTTCTAGAGGGCTTTTGCACGGATGCACTATATGACAGTTGCACGTCGGCGAAAATTAAATGCGTCTTGCATTAAAAGCGCTATTAGTAAATGTGCGAAAGCCTTTGTTTATATGAGTGTGAACGCGCATAGTGCTGCAAAGCCTTTGAATTGCACCTCAAGCATGCCAATACTCTTCTATAATCATCTCATAAGTGCCACTTTTCTTCATCCCTACACAAAAAAAAGGCAAGAGAGGAACAACAAAATAGCACAAGAGCACTGTAAAGCCATGAGATTAGTGATTTAATAGTCGTGAGGAATATATTAGAGAGAAGAGGGGAGAAAGGTGGAAAATATGAGTTTTAGAGCTCAAATGATCCCAAAAATAGGTAAAGGAGAGGCGTGTTTTTAAATTTAGAAAATTTTGATTAAAAAAACACCTTATAAATCCTAATTTTGCAAAAAATCACCTAAAATGCGGTAATTAACGCCCTTTTTACATAATTTTGTTATAAGTTAGCACATAGTGACGGAAAATGAGAGTTGACCCATTAGTCCAGAGTTGACCTAGTTATGTGACTTTAATGACCCTTCCTTTTTCTCTCCTCTCACAATTATTCATCAGAATAGATGAAAGGCAGCCAACAACAGCAACAACCTCTCTCACAAGCATCACTGAAATCAATCATGCAGGACTGAAAGCTCGAGTATTCATCAATTCAAAAATACAAAATTCCTCCTAAGAAATTGGAATCTAACACTACATGCATCATATAGAAATTATCATAATTTGAAAAGATATATATAATACTTCTTACATCCATTTGAGAGAGCTAATAAAATATAATATCTTTTATTGTTATT